GAACATTGTGTGAGTAGTATGAAATGAATCTTGAAAAGTAAATTGGAACTGAACTGTGGAAGGCTTTAAATGTCAGTCTAAAGTTCTATTACCTTTCAGTTGGAAATGGGAAATCCACTGAAGTTCTTGAGAGGAAAAGGCACATACTATCCAACTCAATTGGTCAATAAGTGGTTGAAAAGAAAGGTGCCCATACCATCAAAGCATGTTACTATGATTTTGGAGCTGGCATGTATATTTAGAATATACTGAAATGAGTTTTTTTATTCTGGGGTCTGACACTGGAAAGTCTATTCAGTGATAGTTACTGTGGAAAACTGGAATGAGGATATATTTCAGTGTGGATTCTTTCATCTCTAAGCTGCTCTTTTTGGATCATTTCGGAAGAAGAAATTGCCATTGGCTTTAGTGCTTTTTCCTCATGGTGGTAATAATTTTTCTTGCTGGCTATGTTCTTTAGGTATAGTATTTTAAATTATCATTTTTATTTTTACTTTCACCCTTAAGCTATTTAAAATGAAGGGCACAGTTTGTAAAAAAATTAAAACAAAATAAATATCTTGTCAAAGGCAGGCAGGTGCAAGCGTCCAATGCCTAATCAAGCTCCCAGCTATTTAATTATTTATTCCTTTCTATAACCTCTCCATCCTACTGACCCAGCCTAATGGTTTGATAAGTAAATATGTTTTTGTTCAGATTTTTGATGGAAATTTCTTATTGTATGTGTTCTTGCTGCCAAAAATGACTCCCTTGTTTTAAAAACCTGGAAATGGACGTAGTTTAAAAATTTACAGACACTTGTCACTTGGACCATAGACTCAGTGACTCATATTTCCAGTCCTGCTGGACAATTCCCCAGTTTAAACAAATTGCCAGTAAATCATATTTCTTTTGATTTTTTTTTTCTGGTACTGAGTAAGTGCTTTCCTTTGTAGAGTTCAAAGGGCTCTGCAAACATTATTTAATTAATGTCTGAGAAATAAATGGCAAATGTTATCTGGTAAAACACCAGGAAACAAAATGACTTGCCATAATGGCCCAATGAATCAATAGAATGACTGGGAATAGAATCTAGTTGTCTCAAATATGAATACTAGGAAGATTATATCGAAGTCCTTCCAGAGCAAAGATGGGAAGATTATCCTTAACTATTATCTTTCTCATTTTTATGCCTCTAGAAGGCTTGAGTCAAGTGGCTGGAATTTCTTTAAATGCTTACTTTTAACTAGTCTGTTATGTAGTCCTAAAGATAAATTGTTGGAAATGATGCTGCTGGGAATGAAGCAAGCAACATGGGGAAGGAAGCAGAAAGAAACCACATAATTTATATGGCTAAAGTGATCACAAATTTAGACCTAGAAGGAATCTTAGAGGTCATCAGATCCACCTCCCTTATTTTATAGGTGAGGAAACTGAGGCCCAGAGCTAGTTTAAGTGATTTGCTAAAGGTCAGAAAATAAGTAAATGGCAGAGACAAGATGCAAATCTAAGTTCTGTGGTTCTGAATCTTTCCATTGTAACATACTGATCAGCTGAACAGTCACAGTGGTATAACCTTATGATGGGGTTTGGCTACAATGTATGAACAGTATTATTGTAGAAGAGCCTTGGTAAGGATAGCATTATGTGTACTATCCAGTGGTATGCTAGTAAACATTTAATAATTAGCTCTCTGAAAAATACAGGAATACTTTTAACTTTAGTCTATATTTTAAACATTTTTTCTCATTACTTTTAAAAGTCTAGACAATTGATGAAAAAAAATCAAGCCCTGATTGGAAACTTTGATGATATCAGAGGTGTAAATGCTCACACTGAAAATTTTAATAATTGGCTCTCTCAGACCAGTTAGAACTGGTTTCAGCGTACTCTTTAATAACTGTAGATTATTTGAAAAATGTATATCCTCTACAAATTAGATTTTTCTGATTATATCTCTCTAAATGAACTTTTTTTCTTGCTCTAGATTGTCTTTTTTAATATTTTATTTTTCCAATTACATGTAAAGATAGTTTTCAACATTCATTTTTATAAGATTTTGAGTTCCAAATTTTTCTCCTTCCCTCCCTCCACTCCCCTCCCTACTCCCCAAGATGGCAAACAATCTGATATAGGTTATACATGTACAATCATGTTAAACATATTTTCACATTAGTCATGTTGTGAAAGAAGAATCAGAACAAAAGACACGAAACCATGAGAAAAAAATTTAACCCCTCCTCCAAAAGTGAAAATAGTATGCTTTGATCTGCCTTCAGACTCCATAGTTCTTTCTCTGTATGTGGATAGCATTTTCCATCATGAGTCTTTTAGAATTGTCTTGGATAATTGTATTGCTGAGAAGAGATAAATCAATCATAGTTGATCATCTCACAGTGTTGCTATTATTGTTTACGATGTTCTCCTGGTTTTGCTGTCAGCATCAGTTCATGTCAGTCTTTCCAGGTTTTTCTGAAATATACCTGCTTATCATTTCTTACAGCACAATAGTATTCCATTACATTCATATAGCACAACTTGTTCAGCCGTTCCCCAATTAATGGTCATCCCCTCAATTTCCCATTCTTTGCCACCATAAAAAGAGCTGCTATGTAGATTTTTACATATAAGGTCCTTGTCCCTTTTTTGGGATCTCTTTGGGATGTAAATCTAGTAGTGGTGTTGCTGGATCAAAGGGTATTGCCCCAGATTTTCTAAACAATTGCAGGAAACAGAAATATTTTACTTGGAGGTGTGTGTGTGTGTGTGTGTGTGTGTGTGTGTGTGTGTGTGTGTGTGTGTGTACATGGTGAGGAGTACAAAGGTTGCTAGCTCCACAATGCAATGATTTTGTGGTTAGGGGAAAAGGGATAAAGATCGTTTGTTTCACCAGCTTCCTTTTAGTCTTGTTTCTGAGATAATTTACATCAGTAGTATCAAACTCAAATAAAAAAAGAACTACTAAACCATTCTCAAAGAGTCCTGCATATTGAGTTAGAAAATCACATATTATCTATGTTCTACTGAATTTTTATTTATTTTGTCAAATATTTCCCAATTAACATTTGATCTTGTGGCACATTCTAGAATGTCACTGGCCTCTGCTTGTTTGACACCTCTGATTTATAGGGACTCAGGTTAAACCAGGAGCATAATGGAAGTTGATAGGAATCTCCTCATCTTTTACGAGGTTCCCTGTAGGTCCTTTATTGTTTTACTTAAGTGGGAGATTGGGATGTAATGCATAGGCACAAGCTGGAAAACTATCACATTAAGGAGATACAAGTACCCCATTTTTTTTTAATGAGTATTTTTTTTCAATGAGTATCAACCACTATCCTTGTTCTAGGAATCTAGGAATTATGGCAAGCATTTAGGAATAAAAGACAAAAACAGAATAGTCGCTACCCTCAAGGAGCTTACATTTCCCTGGGAGGAAACAACATATACATAGATAAGTCAATACAAAATATATACAAAGTATATACAAGTTTCCAGGAATGGCAATAACACTAGCAACTGGGGAAATTTGAAAAAAGGCCTCTTGTTAAAAAGTGGCATTTGAGTAAAGCTGAGACATGTGAAAATGTCTGACTTGGGGAAGCCTGACCTCCTTTTGGAGTTTCTGGCCTACCCATCCCATTCTTCCCCACCCCCATTTGGTTCTGAAGGGCACATCCAAATGGGAACTTTATATATTTGGGGGCCATGGCGGCATTGTCAATGTATGATTTCAAAATGTGGCCCTGATGACTGTGGGTACTCATTCCTCTCTGCTCTTTGGTGGAATAGGGCAGGCAGCATTGCTCCTGTACATCTCTGGTCTTGATTTTTCTATATGTGGTGCCTAGTGTATCATAGCATAAGAACAGTGGACTCAGAGTCAGAGGACCTGGGTTCAAGTCCTGACTCTTTTTGCTACCTACATGACCTTGAACAGGCCACTTACCCCATTCTAGGCCACATGAGTTTCCTCATTTGTAAAATGAAATGTCAGACTAGCATCAAGTTCCCTTCTAGCTGTCTTTGGCAATTCCACACTGGATAAATCTAACTTACAGCATTAGATTTCTTTTCTCTTTTGCTTATATTCCATTTTCATGTCTTTTTTCTCCTTCCTCCCCTTCCAGGGTTTAAAAAATGAAATTGTAGCTTAGACTTATTTCTTTGCTTATGGGCAATATGGTGTTATTACTCTAACGTTGCTTCCTAGATTTCTGTAGGCAACTACTGTCCTAAACTTATTGGAAGCCAAGACATGTCATGGCTCACTTTTCATTATGTGCCATACACAAGGGCACCATCTGATCAAGAATACATATTGAATCCCAGCCTTAGGAACCAGTTTCCTGGAGGGTTAAGGGAGAACACAGCAGATTTCTTTTAAAGAGAAAGCATTCTTGGAATTTGGTGTGCCCATGAGTACTTACTCATAGACAGTGTTTAACTTTTTTTTAAAGCTATTTCAGAGACTTGTAGTTCCTTGGTTTCTTTAAAATATATATATTTTAGTTAATAAGAATCTGCTTTCTTTTTTTCCCATCACCACCCTCATTAAGGTGAAAAAAAATCCCCCCAAACCCTTATAACAAATATTCATGGTCAAGCAAAACAAATTCTGTCTTAGTCATGACCAAAATATGTCTTATTCTACACTCTGAGTCTCCTTCCTCTCTGTTAAGAGGTGAGTAGTATGCTTTATCATCAGTCCTAATCATTGCATTGATCAGAGACTTGAAGTCTTTCAAAAGTCTGAGTTTCTAGAATTAAAAGAGCCACTAGGAACTTGTTAAGTAACAATTTCACAGCTCACAAAGATTGAGCTGTGTTTCTTCTAGACTAGAAATCTACAATTGTCAAAATGAACTATTTCCTATGAAAACAGATAATTTCTTTAGTACAATTGTGACATAGGTATCCCTTCTTCAAAACCTTTATGAGGATACTATGGATATGGACTATTCCAATGAAGTATTTTCATCCTTGATTGAAAAAATTCCTATGTTTGTTTTTTAAAACAGGCATAAATCCTACACCATGGGTAATATCTTGGACCTGGCCTGATAGGAGTCACCAGTGCCACTGGATTTATTGACCCCTAGCCCCTGGCTTTTCACCATGAATGGAAGGTCATGCAGCATGAATCTCCACCGCACATCAGGCACTCCACAGGGACCAGGAATGATCGGTGGTCAGCACATCCCCCCCGTCAGAGTTCCATCAGGGACTTCTTGCCCATCATCCAATGGCAGCACCCCCAGTCCTGCTGTTGGAAGCCTCCACCTCAAGCTGCCCTCAGGAGGAGGGGTAGCTCCTCAGAGCAACTCAGCTGACAGCTCCATCCACCTTCCAGCACTGAGCCCCAGGAGACAAGTGGTTACCAATGGGAAGCCTCTGTTCCAGGTTTCTCAGGGGCCAGGGATGACAATGCCACATTCTTTGAAGCCAAAACAGCAAGATTTTGGAAACCCCTTTCCTACCAATCCAGGGAAAGGTAAGACTATGTTTCCATATTTAAAATTTTAAAATTGAAATTGTTTTTGTTTTCCAATCCAAATAATCCTTATCTTTCTCTGAAGAGCTTGGTAAAAACTATAATACAACATGAGGGTTACAGATGGCTTTCTGATAATGATATACAACTTGTTTTATTGTTGTGTGAAGCAATGTGTGTGTGTGTGTGTGTGTGTGTGTGTGTGTGTGTGTGAGAGAGAGAGAGAGAGAGAGAGAGAGAGAGAGAGAGAGAGAGAGGAGAGAGAGAGAGAGAGAGAGAGAGAGAGAGAGAGAGAGAGAGAGAGAGAGAGAGAGAGAGAGAGAGAGAGAATGAGAATGAGTGGCCCACTACACAAATGGCAAAATTTGAATTTAGTTTGGCCCTGGATTATGATGATTTTACCAGACAGCACCATAATCTCTAACTGCTGACTATCCATATGGAAGTTGTACAAATAGGAGGAAGGAGTCATAGGATATTTGAGGGTCAGATTAGGAACAAGGTAGGACAAGGGTAGGAGGTGGTCACTGCAGTACTAGCATGGCCTTGGCTTATGGGATGAATTTGGCCATGTTTACACCTTTTGGTTTCAGATATCTGAAACCATGGTAATTGGCTCTAAAAAAAAAGTCAGTTGGGAGCTGGGGGATTGAGGGAGGAATACAATATGAAGAGAGAAATGCCATAGAGAGGATGAAGAGAGGATCTAGTGAGCAACCAGTTGCTTAGTTTAATTGCAGGCATTTTATTTGAGTAGAGTTGTGTTGTCATGTCAAAGTGATAGGAAGAACATTATTAAGAGTAGGAATGTAGTTACGATATAGTTGTTGACTTCAGAGAATTGAAGTGGGAATTGTATGGGGTAATATTTCAAGGAATAGTGAAAATAGGGAACCATAAAACTTCATTAATTTAAAATGCGCAGAGCTGGAAAATGCATTTTCAATGAAACAGGTATAAATATCATTATTAAAGAACAATAGGACATATGATGAGGGAGAAGGGGAATAGGGATTGCCTTGAATTACACACAGTTTTGATAAACTGATGTTGACTTAATAAGGTTTTACTGCATGTGGCATTGCTCATTGTTAATAGATAAAAACAGAAAGTATCCCTTGCAAAATAAGTGTCTTGAAATGAAAAAGCTTGCAATTATACTTTCCTCAAGGTATTTGTAGCATTGGATTGTTTTAAATATTTATATCAAATGTACTTAAAGGAGCAAATTCAACATTGATTTACCAAGCACCTACACAAATAGCCACTCACTCCCTTAATTATGGAGAGTAGTGATTGATATCAGCAAGTGACAAACACATCTGACTGCAGTGTTAATATCTATATATTTCTCTGTGGAAGGCAGTCTTTTTTTTTTTTTAAGGAGCCTTGTGGGCCGATTAAAACAAAAACAAAAACAAAAACAAAACAATTCTGTGCAAGGCTGTGAGATCTGACCTTTCCCTGTTCAGCTATAAGACAAACAATCATCTTTGATACTGACGTTTGAAATAAGTGTAAGAACAGGTTTTCCAGGGGCTGCTTCCTATTTGTATTGCTACCATGACAGACTTGGCGCACTGGCAGTTTAGGAAGTAAAGTCTCTTTAGCATAAAACACACATTTGAACCGTGAGGGACTGAGACCCAGTGAACTCTTTCTATCATGCTTGGCTAGTGAACTGAAGTCTGCAGTGTTAACTTTTGTATGGGGAGAGTTGGTAAGGAGTATACAGCCCATTTTCAAAGTGCATGCCCAATAAAAATGGAAGGGACCACAGAAACCATCTTGTTTCACCCTTTCATTTTACAGAAAAGGAAACTGAGGCTCAGGTGGTAAATAATTTTCTAAAGTTACATAGCTAATAAGTGGCAAGGCTAGGATACAAATTCTTTTAAAAAGAGGGGGAGTGGGAAACCACATCAGTACCTTATATATGTGTAGTATATTTTCAATAAATGTTCACTGATTTGAATCAATGGCGAGTTGGATTTGTCCCATAGAAGGACCATAAATTGTTTGATAGTATATATGTAAACAGAAGGTTTGTAAGCTCCTGAGAGATTCTCCAGTGAGATGTAGAAAATATACATTTCATCATAACATTTTTCATTTTAAGATGGATATGCATCTTGTTACAACACATTCTTGTTCTATCTTCCATTTAAGAAAGGCAGTATATCACTACATGCCTCAGTGAAATCCAAGGCATTGTAATTGCTATTTTAAAAATAAAGTTTCCCCGATGGATTTGGAGCTATATGATAGTTACTTTTTTATCCCCCCTTTTTTCCTACATGCATTAAATTAATAGAATTTGTCTTTCAAAAAGAACACTAAATTCTTCAACCTTTTCTACTTTTAATGTGCTGAAATAAGTACTATTATATATGTATATATACATACATAATTTGACTCAATCAGTGAATAAAGAATAATTAAAAAATTTGGAAAGTATTCATCTAACCAGGATATTAGAGTACTGTGTATAGGTTTATAGTGTGATCAATGGTGGCATTCCCTACCTACCTCCCAATTGTGTCACATATAAATGGTTAAAATAATTAAGCAGATGAGTGGGTATATATGTAAGACGGCTGGAAAATCAATTTTGTGCTTGCCATGTTATATACTTTTAATATAAATATTTAAATATTTAAGACATCTTAGTGTCCTGACAACCTTGAAGACTATATAAATGAGAGATTTTTTATTCACTTTAAAGTACTTTTTACTTCACTGCTTTCCTTGTAGGCAAAGGGAATTAGTTACTCATTAGCATTTGTAAGCTGTTCGTTATTGTTAGAAAAATTGGAATGATATCAACATAGGACATTAAGCCAATTTGGACCTCTTTTCCTATTTAATACCAGTGGTGTTATTTCTATTGTACAAAACTAGTTTGGTCAATATAGTATACTAAACATCTATGAAATGGAAATAATTGATGTCTTCAGACAATTTTTTTTTCTTGAAGGTTTCCTTTCTTAGGAAAGGAATTCAGCTGGTTAGGATGCTGAGTTAATGAAACTCCTAGAGAAGAGGTTGTCCGTTATAGGACAGTTGATTTAATTACCTGAGCTGACCACTGTCCTTAGCAACATAATTGCCTTAAGTAACATACACTAAATATTAGTTTCTGGACAGCTAGGTGTCCCAGTGGATAAAGCAGATAGACTCATCTTCCTGAGTTCAAATCTGGCCTCAGACCCTTACTAGCTGTATGACCCTGCACAAGTCACTTAACCCTGTTTGCCTCAGTTTCCTTAGCTATAAAATGAGCTGAAGACGGAAACAGCAAACCACTTTAGCATCTCTGCCAAGAAATCCCCAAATTGGGGGTGGGGATGTTAGACATGACTGAAAAATGACTGAACAAAAACAACAACACATAAGTTTAGAGTACCATGTGCATTTGAGAAAATATATAGAGCTTAGTGGCCTATAATAATCAGTGAATGTTAGAGTAGGAAAAGGACCTTTGCAGTCATCTAGAGCCCACCCTCTTGTTTAATGGATGAGGAAACCGAGGCCCAGAGGGAAGTGACTTGCCCAATTAAGTGGCAGAGTCAGGATTTGAACTTAGCTTCTTTCCTCAGGCAAGGCTTCCACTCCCTGGGAAACACTGACTATGGCACCCAGCTAAGATGGTTTTGGAGTAAGAAGAGCAATAAGGGTCTTATAGCCTCTGGAAGAAGGTGGTTAATATATGAGCTGCCGAAAGTTGTGGCAAAAACACACACCAACCTACATTTTTCCTCCTTTGCTTTTTAATCATTTATATTTCATTGCACTTCCACTGTGGCTTCCTGCAGATTTAGAGCAAATAAAGTTAATATTCCAGAAAAGGTTCCAGAAATAACCAATCTAGTCAAATACTAAAGGCATTCTTCCAGTGGATGCAGCCAGAGTTTTCACTGAGTCTAGCCAAATAGGTAGGTGAAATACAATGTTTACTTTTGTTTACTATCTTGGCTACACAGGGGCTACTTCTGTATGATTTATTAATGCTGGGTGTAAATCAAATGCATGATGGATTTCCAAGTATTACTGAATGGCATGCATGATTTGTTCCAATTATAAAAGCTGTTTGTCAGTCTTATAAAATTCCTCCTTAAAAGAATCACAGAATCATAGATTAAGAGCTGGAAGGCAGAGATCACATAGTCCAACATCCTTATTTTGCAGTTAAAGTATTAGGCACTGGGGGAGGTACAAAGTTTAGAGAAGATATAAGCTCTTACAGAGCTTATGGTGTGTGTGTGTGTGTGTGTGTGTGTGTGTGTGTGTGTGTGTGTGTGTGTTGTAAGTATGTATTTGTGTGTATGTGTGTAAGGAGAGATAAAGGCATAAATACATATAACTACAATGCACAATAATTCATGCTAAGTGAGTTAGAGAAGTACATTAAACAAAGTGTCATGTGAAATCCAAGAAGGAAAGTTGTTACCAAAAAGGAGGAAAACGGAGAACTGCTTTCTGAAGAGACAACATTTTGAATTGTATTTTAAAGGATGATTAAGAATTCATCAAATGAATATGGGAAAGGCAGAGCATTCTAGGCACAGGAAATGATTTGTACAAAGGAGTAGAAGTCAGAGTGTGCAGGGCATGTTCAGGGAGGGGAGGAAGGAGGACAGATAGTCCACTTTGATTGGCAACTGTATGAACCAAGCAGGTGGTAGGCTCTTAATGCCTGGCAAAGGAGTTTGAACTTCCTACAGTGGACAATAGGGAGCCACTGAAGATTTAATCAGAGGAGTGGAGGCGACCAGATCTATGTATCTATGTATTAATTTGACAGCATGCTTCCTTAAAATTTATATGCTTTCAGAGCAGTCTTCCCATATGCCTGGAATGCTCTGCCGTCTTACCTCTGCTGCTCAGTATATCCCTGGCTTCCTTCAAGACTCGGCTTAAGTTCCATCTTTTGTAGCAGGGGTTTCCCCGTGCTCCCAGGTGCTAATGCCTTTCCCTTTCAATTACCCTTCATCTACTCC